TACCAGTTTGTGTTTGCCTATGCCAACTTTTTGCACATGTTCTAGTTTACCTCAGTAGACAAAATAGACTTTAAACATTTCTCATAAAAGATCAAGTAGGGCTGAAGAAAAAAGTTATTAAGTGAAACTGCTATAAAAGAGTAGCAAAGGTTATAACTACACTGATAGTGTGAGACATTGATTTGTGTATTTTTTTTGTACTAAAGTGTTCTGTTTTATAGGGCTAATTATTTTATTTTATTCTCCGACCTCAGGTGACCCCCCTATGAAAAGCAAACCAATTTTTGATAGGCTACTTCAATGGCTTTCTAAATTGACCACCTCCTCTTACGCAATATCCATGAACTGTAGTAAGGTAGTCTATTTAATTTACTCATTCATTAGACAAAGACTAATAGTGATTCAGATGTGAGTAAGATTTTCCTACACGAGATTTTTCCTACACTTTATGCTCAAAAGAAGGAAGACTATATATATCTAAAAACTACAATACAAAGCATAATATGCAAAGATAAATGCAATAGAAATAAAATAAGCTATAGGAGTTGAGGGAACTGAAAGATAATGTAAATTGTATTACAGTATTTTAAAGAGGCCTTATTTTCTTAATAGTCTTATGCAATCGGCATTCCATTCCATAGATGGTACCATGAGTACAATATAGTGAGAATTATTTTGTGCATAAATTGCTGTGCAGATAAAGCGTTGATATTTTACATGTTTGGGGGCATAGGTAGTGAATCATATTTATAAGTAAAATGAAATGGAGAAGCAATGCCAATCTATCTCCACTTGGCAGATATCATTAGAAAGTTTTATTGTATTATTTAAATTTGAAAATGCTAGAGTCTATAGTTTTTGCAGTAGCAATATACTTTCTTTCATCATATGTTTGACGTAGTGATAGTATTTTGACCCTCAAAGTGTTACATTACACACACTTACTTTAATTAAAAAATAAACTACAGATATTTCTTTGGAATTTAAGACCGCTCCTTAAGAAAACTGGAGAAATACAAGAATATTGTAAATCATGGTTGCGAATCACTGATTTAGGCAATATTTATTTTGTTATATTCATAAACTTTGTAGAAAAAGAAAGTTGGACAGAAATACTATGCATATCTCACTTGATAATTTACCCTTTCAGAGATAAAATATATCTATAGGTAAGAAGAAATGTAAACCAAAATAAAAGTTATTTAGTAAATGTGTGCATTGTTATTATTTTCCTGGTGTTAGCCTGGCAAAAAGGTATTAAAATAGTCTTGTTTTATTAATATGCTTAACTTGTTGAGATAGAAAAAAAAAGATTTTTGTGTAAAGACGCTTTTAGAAAATTGCCCTTAACATTGGAGGGGGGTTATGATTTGACATAAACACCTAATATGCCATTTTTACAAGACACTTTGAAGATCCATATAGATTGAAACAGTATGGTTTATAATTTTCTTCTCAAAATACTTTGGTCAAACCATTTTCTTGAATTTCTTAGAGATGAAAAAGAAAGTACATATTTCATAAAGGATTATGAAAAAATAACAAGTCTGTATCATCTCTCACATAAAATGAAATATTCAAGCTTTAGTATGATTTGAAATTGATACAGCAGTAGTCATTATTCGTTTAAATTTGAAATGAAATGAAATTTTTTTTACATTATTCAAGTAACTTAATTGGAACCTGAAATATGAGCATAAAAACCAGTTACTGAAATTTAGATTTAGTGATTAAATAGAATATTCATTTTTTTTTTTTTTGTGACCAGTAAGGGGATCGCAACCCTTGGCTTGGTGTCGCCTGCACC